CACAAGGAAACCTGGTGAACGGGAAGCCAGAGGTCAGATCCTGTCACCTGGCACAAAGGTGTCGAAGTTAAGAGTTGCTGGAAACCAGGAAACTGCACCATGCTTAGAAATAAGGTAGTGCTGACTGCAGGAAAACTGGAACCTCCATGATTTGCTCAGCTTCAAACCACAACCCCATTTTAGTTGGTTTCCCTGAGGAAACAAAGCAATTGCACAGCTTGCCTGCTCTCCCATCAGCCTTTTTGAAATCTGTTAGCCAAACTTGACAGTATAGACAGCTAAACAGTAATTGAGATAATGACATTCTGCAAAATCAGTAGAGACTCACAAATTAATGTTATTACAGAGAGAGATGCAAGTACTGTTCAGCCCTTATGCAGTACTCCACTGATTAATCAGATCGTCAGAGTAAACTGCAGAATAAAGAAAGCTCATTTAGCTTTGTTAGACACGAACTACTGTCAAGTACAAGTGGACATCTCTCACCTGCATTTCTGGATCTTGCATGGAGCTCTTTAGACCCTGACTCCAGTGTCCTAAATGTTCCTACAGCACAGAAGCAAAAAATTAAATTACAAGACAATTAAGTATCCAGTTATAAATTTTAAAGCATTCTGTTAAGGACATTCATTAGTATGTAACAGTAAAATAACAGCTGAATGACAGCTGAATTATTTCCCTTCTATAAAATGCCAACACACCTGCTCCAACTGCCCTCAAAAAGCCAATTTTGAAAACTTTTAATAAGATACTGTGAAGATGAAAAGTTAACTCTTTCAAATACTGGAAATTTAACAACAGGGAGCTCTAGATCTATTTGAATATAGTAATTTGCATGTGCATGTCACGGCACAGTCCTTGATTACTATTGATGACAGATTATCTTACTACAAGACCCTCTGCTTCAGGGGCCACAAGGGCCAAAGCAAGTACAAAGATCTCCAAAGCAGTTATGGGGTGTGGCCCTACTCTTGGATATATTTATTTTTTTACATTGTGCAGTAGCTTGTACATAAAACAAGACAGGCACAGGAAGATCAAGCCAGTCTAGCTGCTATCTCTTAACTTGGTCACTTGGCCTAATAGAAGGTGTGCCCCAAGTGCACTTTTTTCGATACAGGAGCTCTATCTGTTCAGATCACTTTACATGCATTATCAACGATGACCTTCATCATATTCTTATAGAGGAAGATTTTCAAACATTATTATAGCACTGACAAGGAAAACCATGTGCATAGTCTTGTCCCCCTGCTCAAACTACCACCAATCTGGCCCTAATACAACTAGCCCAAGTCCACAAATGAAGTGGTTAACCCACTGTGACCTGAGACTGAAATTTTGTCCTGAGGGGTATCATTTCTGTGCCTTCTCCTCCAGTAACTGTGCTAGTTCCAAATGCATTAAGCAGTCTTTCATTTTATCCACACCATGGGGCTAAAAACTCCCTTTCAAACTATTCTGATTGGAAACATTCATTAATGTAAACATGGTTCTACCATAAGGAATGAACAAAGCAGGAGGGGAAAAAAACTCCAAGCAATTAAAAACAAACAAAAACAGGTCAAGTTGTTCTATTCTCCGTGCACTTGCTTTTAGATTACCACTGCTGTATTTGTAACACTGCAGATTCCATCTCCAGAGCCAGGACAGTGTCCTTGGGTGACTCCAGCTAAACTGAGCTCATACGGACTGTCCTTCTAGCAGAAACTGCATCAGAAACCAGAGATTAAATCCTCACTCACTAAAAGCAAGTCACCTCACACACACCAAACCCTCAGCTCAGGTGAGAATGGGATCCATTCCTTAGGGCCTGGGTGATGTCAGGAGCACAGTCTCTGCATCAGGACATGTCAGCTCACATGCTCTGTATACTCTGAGGACCTGTGCTCACCCAAGATGATTCCCAACCAGTAGAATCCTCAAAAGACCAAAGGCTTCATGGAGTAGACAACCCTAAGAGAAACAGCACAAGTACTAACACAAATACACTTGCCTTTTTGCTTGAAGTTCCTTCAAGTGGAGACATGCTGGTATTGCTTAGTTTGGGATTTGCAGAACTGCTTTGTGTATCCCCCACCTCCATCTTCATTGTTTTTCTGGGCACAAGCTCTGTATCATCATCCCCACAGGAGCCCCCATGCGGCACCTTGCCGGTTTGTATTTTCTCTTCTGCTGCTGCAGCAGTTTTCCCTGACTCCTCGGCAAATTGCACCGTGTAGGGGTAAAGTTTATTCACAATGTGCAGAACTTGGCCTGGTTTCATTTTCACCACCTCATCCTTGCCGATATTCACAAAGTCCACACTGGTTGGGTTGACCCCTATCTTTGGTACACAGAAAAAGGAAAAATGTAGCAAATAATGTTGTAAGTGAAAACATAGAATCATAGAAGCATAGAATCATAGAATTTAGGGGTTGGAATGGACCTTACAGATCATCTAGTCCCAACCCCCCCTGCCATGGGCAGGGACACCTCCTCACTAGATCAGGTTGCTCGAGGCCTCATCCAGCCTGACCTTGAAATCGTCAACTTCTGCTCAGTTCTCCTGGAATACCACTATCCTGGAAAGCAAATGCATTTTGTACTCACTGCCCACATCAACCTGCCCTAGAGGACCAGCGAGGTCCAACACTAGGGCTCAGTCTTGCAGTCACAGCTATCAGCATACGACTCTCAGGTGCCACAGGGAGCTCACAGCTCTGCAGCAGTTGGATATAGAGTTATAGCACCACTTGTGCTGCACTTTTTTCAAAAAAAATTGGCAACCTAACCTATTAAACAACTAGTAACAGTAGCAAACTATTTCTAAGGAGTAGTAGCAGTTTTAACAAATTATTTCAGTCTGATGACACAGTGCTGTGTCACCTGCAGTGACTGCTTTGATAGACGGATTTTGCCCCATCACGACGGTAACCCTAGGAAAATCAGAACTCTTCAGCAAAATGCTTTTGATTAATGTTTATGCGTTAGGAAATCAGCTGTCTCCTGTGACTCTCACAGTGTTTCTTTAGATTTGTCACTGTGATTGCACCCTACCTGCTTCAGATGGTGCTGTACCTCTCACTTGGTATTCACTGCAATGAAGTATATGCCTGATTCCAGCCAGGTTCTCTTTAGTCTACAGTTGTGAAGTTTCACTCAGGTCAAGTACAATTCACATCCCCTGTGCACTACCAAACAACAGATCACTGGGACCCTGTGCCACATATCTATCACCTGGGAAGCAACTCTTGAACAGGCAGTGAAAACATGCTGGCACCCACTGCCAGAAGCTATTCCCAGCCCTGAGATTCCTGGAACACAGTATTCAAATTGTGGCTAAGGTTGACTTCTGTGACAAACTGTCAGAGATCTCTGCAGGATTCACCAGACACCAGTGGAGTCCCTGTGCTTGCTGAGTTCTGAAGGCATTTTGAGGGAAGATGTTACTCCTCATTAGGCAGAACACAATAAGTGTGTTGTCCGCACATGCTGATGCTGTGGGCACACATACACTCCCCAGCACCAGAAACCCAATTTTTCCCTTTGTATTATCTCAGGAATACTGGTCCTCACAAGTATGAGGGAGTAGGCCTACATCCATTCAGTTGGTAACATTAGAATGCCTTCAGTGCTGTTTCACATCCCATCCTTTCCCAGAAGTAACCACATCTTTGGCTCTATTAGCCATCAAACAAAAACCTTCCACAACTGTGTAGTCTTGTTAACACAAGAACTTTAACCTTAAACAAAAGGGCTGCCTCAGCTTTAGAAGTTTAATACTCAGGAGACACATAAGCAAGTTTAGGGGAAGAACTCCAAAATATCCCAAATGCAGCACCTGAAAGAACTGGCTGAGGATTCACAGCAGCTTTCTCTGATGCTGCAAGTCTGGAAGGAATAATGCAGTCTTTCACAGAGGTGCACAGAGAAGAAAGATCCCTTCCAAGGACCACTTGCTGTGGTCTCCATTGGCCACAAAAACAGCATCAGGTCCTTCAGACTCAGTGATCAGAATCACCACGTGGAGCATTTGTGCAGTTAGGTCCAACCACCCCAGTATGTGCCAGGAATATTGTACATCCACACACAAAAACTTACCTGCTTAACTGTGACATATCCCTTGTTACAGTCTGCTTTTAACTGAACTGGAAAGAAAGAAAGGAGGAACAAAGTGTGATAAAACAGCGTAAATAATAAGAACTCTCCTGAACCACCCAGTGCAGAAAACACCCCTCTGCTGGAAGATCTGCTGCCTTCTGAAGCTGAACTCTGTGAATGTGTGCAAAGAAAACTTCTGCCGCTTCCCCTCTTTCCAGGACCACAGGTAAAACACAGCCAACCCACACACTGAGTCAGGCCATGATCAGCAAAATTCTTTCAGGTTAAAGGTGGAACCCATGGTGGTCTTCTACACGTTCTTGATGTTCTTACCAAGCCCTCTGTGACAGTAAGGACTAGATTAGGATTGTGCACAGAGGGAAAAAAAGATGAGGCAAGCAAGATGTGTACTATTTTATAGATCACAGATATTTTTATATATTCCCCAAGAGCATGGTTTTTTATGCACAAAATAACAAGTCATACTAAATATCAGTAGGTGCAACACTTAGGGAGATGATGACCTGCTCACAAACCAAGAGTGCACACACTGCAACATGACTGCAGGCCTGGAAACTCAGGATTAGGTTCAATGCTTTAGTGCACAAAGGTGAACCTCCTGTCATTAGGTGCCTCTGATTTTTCAAGATCCTGAGATCTCTGAAAGTGCTTATTGAAAGAGACTGATTCAAGGACTAGGCAACACTACAGACCATGCAGAGAAAGGAGGTAAGTTGGGCTGCTGCTGCGTGTAGGAAGCAGCATTTGACCTAAGCCTTACCTTGCTGCCGTGAACATTTCTTATCCGTTATCCCAGTCTCCGGGCCGCGCCCAAGTACCACTGCCTCCAGGTGTGGCAGTCTCACACGCTGACCGCATTTCTCCGTCCCCACCAGCCAGCACACACGCATCGCTGTGCTGCAGAGCAGAACAAACTGTGTTACCAACGCGCAACTCCACAAGGGATCACCTGCCTGTGGAACATCCATTAGCTGACCCAAGTCTGCCAACTGGGTTTGTGTTTCTGAAATTCGAGGCAAAGCACAGCATTACCACTCGCATAATCAAAGAGCAAGTTGCTGCTTTTCTTCATGTATTACCAAACATTCTCATATCCATGAATCTTATACGTGGGAAAAAACAAATGTATTGACAGTCTCATCTGACAGAA